CTTGATTTTCTCTAAGTGTAGGAATGACATTAGATCCTTCAGCCAAGAGTTGGGGGGGGGGGAGGATTCTTATCCTTCCATTGAAGTAATATTCGTCTTCGGGCTACCAGAGATGCGAAAGCAATAGCGTTACTTTCCCTGTTGGTGAAATCCTAAAGCACACCAAAGATGGAGGTCAGAGGACTCTGGTTTGTTTAGAGCTTTTGTGAAAGTAAAGTAGAAAGACCAGAAGGAGCTTAATGTGGGACAGGAAAAGAACATGTGTGTATGATTGGCAGGTGACAGAGAGCATCTGTCACAACTATCAATGTATTGAAGAGTTTTTTAAGTTTAGCTTTGGAGTAGTGTGTCCTGTTTAGGACCTTAAACTGAATTAAAGTCAGACTGGCACAGTGTGTCCTGTTTAGGACCTTAAACTGAATTAAAGTCAGACTGGCACAGTGTGTCCTGTTTAGTACCTTAAACTGAATTAAAGTCAGACTGGCACAAGATGAGGTGGAGTTGACCCTTTCAAGGACCCTTTTCCACCCCTCATCCGACAACCCAACTCCTTTTCCCATGGATTTCTAGTCACCGGTGAGGATGGTGTTGATGACAAGATTAATTTTGTAGCTACTGAAATGAATCCATGAGCAGCTGGGAGAGATAGAATGATATCAATAAGAGTACGAGGAGGTTTATGGGGAAAATTGGGAAAGTTACAACGAACAAAATCTCTGGCCTGAAAATACCTAAATAAGTTGGATTGTGGGGGGGGGGGCAAACTTAGTTTGGAGGTTATCAAAGGAAGTAAAAATGTTCTTGTCATAAAGTTCATCAAAGTTTACAGCCCCTTCTCTTTCCACAGAGAAAAAGTCGGATCCAGTGAAGCTGGTGGAAATAAGTGATTTTCACAAAGGGGCATTAGTGGGAAAGACAGATGATTTTAAAGTTCCGTTTAAATTGTCTGAGGATTTTAATAGTAGATAATACACTCGGGTTGGAGGTGACTTTAGTGGGATGAGCATTTAGAGGGGAACATAGTAAGGCTGACAACGAGGCAGGGGTACATGAGTCAGCTTCCATCTGACACCAGTCTGTGCTGGGGGAGTTATACCAGGTAGAGACCTTTTGAATATTGGCTGCCCAATAATATGTCCTGAAGTCCGGCAATGCGAGGCTTCGCTTCTTCTTGGGTCTTTGCAGTACTGAGTGTTTTGCCCTTGGAGTCTTTCCTGACCAAATGAAATGTGAAATAATCTTATCCAATTCATTGATAAACTTTTGGGCAGGTATATAGGTAAACACTGAAAAAGAAATCAAAGTTTTGGTAGAACATTCATTTTCATAGAGTTTATCCTGCCTAGGAGTGACAGTGGGAGATTATTATAGGTCTGACTTCACCTTTCTGACCAGCTCTACAGTGTTATGCTTATGCAGTAAAGGGAGACTATTCAAAGTATTAACTCCTAAATATTGAAGCCTAGAAGAGGCTAAGCAGAACGGTAGTGATTGAGCCGGGATCTGTTTTGCTGTATCATTAAGAGGAAAGCATTTGCTTTTGTTAATATTCAACTTATAGCCAGAAAAGGAACCAAAAGTATAAAATGTCCAGAATTTTGTCCATGCAGACAGTGAGATTTGAGACAAAGAGTAAAAGGTCATCAGCATAAAGTGATACTCGGTGCTCGTTCCTATATACCCCGTTAAAAAGCAGTGAGCTCTTAAGGACAATGGAAAGCAGCTCTATTGCGACGGCAAACAGCAATGGTGATAATGGGCATCCTTTGCGGCAGCCGCATGTTAAAGGAATGAAGTTGGATTGTGTCAAGTTTGTTTTTACACTGGAAACTGGGGCACTATATAATAATTTAATCCACGAAACAAAAATCTGATCCAGTCACTTTAATGTTGTTGTGAATTTATATTCAATGTCCATCCAGGTGGGACGCCATATTAATGTTGTGAATAACTGTTATTTTTAATTCCCAGCCAGCTGGGAGTTCATATTATGTTCTGATACTGGAAGATGTTTATTGCCCTCCCCTGTAGGGGGGGTAAATATCTTACTGAATTAGATATTATTTGGGCTGTTATAGACTGTTTATGACATGCGCCCTACTACACTGTAAACCCGAAGAAGTTCAGAAAACTCAATTTTTTTTTGGAAACCGATTACCTCACAGTTTTTGAGTCAATAAATTAGAATATTTAAGTTTTAATTACTTACAACTTTTACATAATTAACAGTCAAACATTACTCATTCTCTAAAAGTAAACATTGTGAGTGCACTCTACTTAAAACATTTAATTTAATTTCTATACATTTTTTAATTTCTTTGTAATAATTTGTTGGGATGATACGGTACTCCAATTATTAACTTTCTTTAAACTCAAAAAGTAAAACTATGTAGTAACCAAAAAGATAATTTTATACAGGCCATAACCTAAACTACTAAACTACTTTTTTAAGTTCAGAATACACAAAGTTCTTCACAAAACAATGCAGAATTTAAATGTTTTTATTCAAATTTATTTTCTCCAAAACTGTAAACAAACACTACAGACATACACATCTGTATGGCTGCAAATTCTTTGCAAATGTATTACAGAAAAAAAAAACAAGGATCTTCGGTGGTCAAGATCAAATATGGCATCTTAAAACCATCTTAAAACCATTTATCCATCAAACTAGCAAAGGGGAACAAATGCAAAAGTCCTAAATATAAACACCTGTAGGAAGCCGCTCATATCTTGAAAAACTCAAAATATACGCATGAATTACATAAAATTGGTTGTATGGTTATGATTAAATCACTGCAAATGTTTTTTTTTTTTTTTTTTTCGAGAATTACATATCGTCTACATTGACAGCAGGTCATTTTTCAAAGAAAGCAGAGATGGTTTCAGCACCATCATCCAAACCCATGAGCTGCTTCTGAATGAAGGTGAAGGTGCCAACAAGGTTCTTTGGGTCGTCCAGATGCAAAGCATAAACAGCCCAAAAAGTAAAATGTCCCTCATGACAAATTCATCTTCAACCACAATGGCTGTGGATGCAGGACTGAAGTGAAGTAGAGATGCACTTCTTCCTCTGATCTCTGTGATAATACCACAGGTGTGTTCCTGACGTCCGGCTCCTCTGATTCCTCACTCTGGAAAATGAAAAGGCACTGTAACTATTTCTGAATACTAATAGAGCTGCCAACTCAACAATTAAGTATACAGCAAAGTATTACACAGTCGACCTTATTGACAGAAACACATTCATCAGGAATAAAAATATCGTAACTAAAATATTTTTCGTTATTATGATTATTGCACTCACTCCATGTGTTACATGGACGGCGTGTTACATGGACGGCGTGTTACATGGACGGCGTGTTACATGGACCGTCCATGTAACACGCGTGTGAAGACTTAACCATCATACTTACACCTTTTCTTGACTTCAGCAACGACTCGCTTCCCGACCGCCGTGTTGGTTTGATTTTGCCTGGCTGGTTCCCGCCGACGTTTTGACGCACTGACGTCATTACGTTGTACGTCTCTGTGCATTCAAAGCTTTCGAGTAAGGCAATGATGATCACTCGGAGAGTTTAAGTAGAACGAAATTATAAATGCATTCCTCGTTCGGAACACTTAGTAACTTAAAGTTGGGTTCACTTCATAGTGGATTTTGATTGTTTTCTTCACATACTTTTGAGTCAGTAGTAATGTTCGGGTTTACAGTGTAGCTGTGTGTTAGAACAATAGATGAAAGAGTGATTCGAGCTCTAATCATTGTCACACAGTTAATTCTGCACATACATAGATTAAATTCACCACAACTTCTGTTCAAAATATAAGAGTTTATTAACAAAGATCATTCAGCTCCAAGTCAAACATATTTCAGCTAAAAACTCTTGAATAAAACTAGTGAAACTAAACAAACTACTATGTACAAAGAGGAAGGGAAACATGTTTAAAAACCATATTACAGTTTAAGATGGATTCTGTGTTTGAAACCAAAGTTTATCTGGAAGAATTTGGGATCTGATCAAATTAGCTTTTCACTAATTTCAGAAATTGGAAGTTTTCAGACCAGGCACGTGCAGAGGGGGGTGCTAAGGGGGCTTGAGCACCTGCCCCTTTTGCTCCATGATCCCAATGTGCCCTTTTGGTCCTTTTTTTTTTTTTATTTAAATTTTTTTTATTTGACACATGTACTGAAATTATTACCGTATTTTCACGACTATAAGGCGCATATAAACGTCTTTTTTTCCCCTCTAAATGTGCGGCGCGCCCTTTGGTGCGGTGCGCCCTATGTGTGTTGTTACTGCGGACTTTTGAGACCACCTCATGGAGGAGATGATGAAAGAGTGGCTGAATGTGAGGAGACCAGGTGTTTTTTTCCACTCATCATAGAGAGTTATTACTTAACCATTCAAACAATGAAAGGAATTATTTTCTCCAACTTCAGGAGCCTGCTTGAAAGTTTCGATAAGTACTTTCTGAATGATGACACGCACCAAAAAGTATGACTGGATAGGAGTCGTTCACTATCGTCACCCCTCCTCTGACCCCCCTGCAGACCGCTTTCTCTGCACGCTGGACAAGTTCTGGTTGTCAGTAGCAACAGAAGCTCTGGCAGAAGCTGCAGCTGATGCTCTGTTTCCATCTGCACCCACATATCTGGGCCAAAAGAAATACATGAAAAATGAATCTAGATCACATTTCCTGAGAGTTTAGATTGATCTCTGCGTGAAGGTTTCTGACATGAAGCCAAGCAGCTGCTCAGTTCAAACAAGCAGAACCAGAAAAACATCTCTGCTTTTGAACATCAAGTTATTTTTCATACTTAAGTTCCTAGAAACATTTCCTAGAAACATTGATGTTTAAAATGAAACATGGGCTGTTTTTTCACATCTTGGATGTAGAAACATTGTCTGTTCAGAAGTTCGCCTCTTGAAGCTGCTTGATGTTTTTCACCAAATCGCAATGTGTTTCAAAACACGATGATAAGATTTTTATCTTTTTAGGGAATCAGCAGTCAACGACGAGTCAATGGCTTCAGTGATGTTTACCAATCTGCAGACCCAGCTGGAGAAGGTCCGCTCACAGGAACAGAACTTCCTACAGAGACACAATATGAAAATTATTCAGCAGCAGTTGCAGGTAAACTTTAGGAGGGATATAACAGCTGAACTGTCCTCTGCAGGTATTCACAGTTATCTGTTGTTTTCTAAAAACATTTCATATTTTCCTCCTGAATTAAATGATTATCTCACTCTGGTTGATACTATAGTTTGGTAACTATTTGCCGAACATCAGGAAGTACAGAGAAAAATTTTTGAGAGAAATGTGAATTACACAATTTTATCCACTTTTTAATGTATTTATTGAAAGAAATACCTAAAACCAGTAAATGAAAATGTATATTCCTTGAATACACCCCATACCTACCCCACACACATGTGTGTTCTGCTATATGTTGTGAGGACCACGTATTGACTTCCATTGATTTTCTGTAATTTTCAACCCTTTCTATGCCTTAACCCTAAAACTAACCCTAAACCTAACCATGACCAATGCATACCTCACCCTAACCCACCTTAGCCCAAAATACCTTTTGAAGACCAGCAAAATGTCCTCCCTTTACAATAATTGATCTTCAGTGTGATGGTGAAATCGGAAAAAATGGTCCTCACTCTGAGTCCTATACAAGTACACAGGACTGTCCTATAATGTTTATGAACACACCCGTACTGACTGTGTGTTAACACAGGTCCAAAGCCAGGTCAGGCAAACAGATCAGAACAGGAAGGCTCAGAGGTCCAGGAGTACAAAGATGCCTCAGTGGTAGAACAGAACAGGTTAGGATCAGGAAATCAGAAACACTCTCAGATAAGCAGTCATTAGAAACCGGCAGAGTTGGACAGGAGAATGGAATAAATAATTAAGCCAGTTATCAGCGCCAAGATCATGACACATTCAGCTGCACTGTCATCTAGAAAACAACAACTTTTTTGTCCCATGGGGAGAAAAACCAGATGCAACAGCAGAAACGTGACAGAGGTAAGCAGATAAGAACATGAGAACTACAGAGAAGACAATCAGAGACCTAGATGAAAGAAGGGATGGAGTCAAGACCGGTTCTTGGCAGACAATACTGCACTCTCTGTAACAAAGACCAGACGGGACCTTCACAGAGCAAGACTCAGAACAATACCGATACCAAGAACAAGACCCAGTCCCAGAACAAGACCATGACCCAGACCAATACTGATACCAAGGGCAAGACCCAGTCCCAGAAAAAGACCAAGACCCAGACCAATACTGATGCCAAGACCAATACCCAGACCCAGAACAAAACCAATACCCAGACCCGGAACAAGACCAAGACTCAGACTAATAACAAGACCAAAACCCAGACCAAGAAGTAGACCCAGACCAGTACAGATACCAGATATTAACAATATAACTGTAAATAATATATGTGCAAACTTCTTTATTATTATTATTTTTTCTGCCCTGCAGAGGGAAACTTACCACACTTAATATTAATATAAGTAAAAAAAAACATTATAAAAAACAAACTGGTACATTTCTGTCCTTATTGTCATGATGGGATTAGGTTCCTAACCCATATGCAGAACACACACGGAGTCAGATGAAAAGTTTAACTGTTTATTAAAAACAAAGACAATGTTAATGTACAGATGCTGGGAAACAGATCCGGGACTGGTGACACAGGGTTCTCTGTATAGCTGGACAGTTTGGTTAGCCAGGTTTCGGTTGATCTTGTCAGAGGAATTGAGCAGGTCTGTACCTGTAATGTGGTTCAGGCTGAGCAGCAGAGGGAGGGAACCAGGAGGGTCCAGAGGCTAGTAGTTGGCTGAGGGCTAAACAACGGCAGGGCTCGACTTCAGACTTGTCAGTGTTCAGGTCCAGAGTTTCTTCCGATCCTCTTCTTGAGGGCGGGCAGGCAGGTTCAGACAGTTAGATTCTTCAGGTGAGCTCCTGAGAGCCGGCAGGCAGATTTCAGCAGAGAAACTCTTCCAGAGTTCCAGGGTTCAGTCAGGTTTCTTCCTAAGAAGCAGAGAAGACAAAACCTGAAACAGCTGGTGAAGTCAGTTCCAACTTCAGGAGACCCAGAACGCCCTCTGGAGGAGAAAGGCAGACAGAACAGAAACCAAACAGAAAAACAAACCCCAAGAAGGGATCCTTGGCGCCCTCTGGTGGGCAAGCCTCCGGATCCCAACACTTATAACCATGGACACCACAAAGTTTACTGTTCTAAAAAAATATACTTATTCTGGACGTATCAATATTTTTAAAATTAATATTATGATTGACACGTCCACCGAACCGTCAAAGCCAATAGAATCTGTGTCCCTTTCTAAAAGTAAATGGCCGGTACTTATAAAGCGTCTTTTAGAGTCAGAGGACTTGACCAAAGTGCTTGACTCTATAGGCTCAGTCATTAACTGATGCGCCACCGGCCCTCTGACCACCATCTGTTGCAGAGCTAACTGCCGCCCCCTATAGGAGGCGGAGAAAACAGTCAGTTGTCATGTCTGTAGCTACAATGCTCTACCTGCTGCAGGTGTTTTAGGCATCATCACACATTTTTAACTTAACATTTAAGGACGCATGTTCATCTCTACAAAGGTTCACATCCATCCATTGAAATGAACATTTCATCATTTCTGTATATGCTGAGCAGGCGGACATTTTAAATGAGCCTTTAGACAAGAGAATATCAACATTGGCTCATTAATTCCTGTTTTAGAGATTCTATTCTGTTGGAAATAGTTCCACAGGATATCTGAGTTATTAGACGATCACACCATCTTTAACCTGTTGATAATAATCAGAAATGAAAGAAGGAAGAGATGCTGAAAATCTATTTTCTGATCTACAACCTCTTTTGCTGTTATTATTCAGTTTTCTAGCCTTAAAGACTTCTGTGTGGATTTACGGTAATCTGTGTCATCGCCTGTAGGAAAAAGTTTCTGGTTACTTTCATAAGCATCACTCTGAAACCTTTAGTCAGACGCCCGTTTATTCCTGTAGAGATCTTCCTGCAGCTCGTTAGCAGACTTCTGCCATAAAACAGGTCATGTGCTTCGGTTTGAAAACACAGACAATAAGCAGAAGTACATGGAGGGTGTTTGGGGGGGCTTGCTGAAAGGAAGTTAAATCTAGTTCATGTTCACTTTAAGCGTTTAATTTGGATCTCATTTCTCGTTCTAACATTGTTAGAAACATTTCTGCACATTACTCCACTTATCAAAAGCAGAAATAAAAGTTTGAAAAAATGAAGTGCAAAGGTGGTAGTTATTCCCTGATTTCAGGTTGCTGATGAAGATTCTCAGTCATCCAGGTCATAGTCAGTCCGTAAAAATGTTTTTATTTTTACGGACTGATTTCAGGTTGTTTCTCAACAGAAACGTCATTTGATTGTGGAGTTATGCAGGATGTTTGGTTGCGGATGAGCATCTCAGATATACTTTGTTCTTGAAAGGTATTCACCTCTGCAGAACCGGCCTGTGAAGCTTGTACCGCTGCTTCCTGTGTTATCTGACTGTTTGTGTCGAAGCATAAATGCCAGAGAGGAAGCAGGAACTGGTGGTGTTTGTGGTTTTCTGCTAATCTTCGCTGTCTGTTCCTCCATCCACACAATGAGGGCAAAGAACCCAGACTTTAAAGCACTTCTTCACTTTGACTTTTTTATTGTGTAGAATGAGCTCTACTTTTGGCCAAGACGAGCAGCTGTTACACAAACAGCACAGCAATGAAAGGTAAACATTAGAACCAAAAAGAGAAGTAAGGTTGTGATTGATGGTTGCTTGAAGCACCAAAACAAGCTGAGTTTGAGCTGCGCTGCCTCTCTGCTGAGTGTAGGTGTGCATCTGATCCATTTCCGCTAACAGTGCTGATGACAGCTCCTGTGGGTGAAATGTTCCTCTCCCCTCATATTTTCGGTGCTTTTCTGAATGGGCAGAAGCAGACAGGCACTGGCTGGAAATGTCAGAAAAACTCTTGCAGAGGTTAGATTACAGCTGCGGGAAAGTTTGTGGCTGCTAAATATGTGCAAAACCTAATTAGTAAAAAGTTTTTTGTTATTTTTCATCATTCAGCCTTTTGAACATTTATATAGCTGATTGAAAAAGTCAGTAAAAGTCTCAGTACCTGAAGATCTGAGCTCAAAACGTTGAATTGAACCAGAATGAAGTTTGGAGGAGAAGGACTAAAGTCTCAGTCTGAACTTTTTCTGTATCGGGATGTGACATTTTCATGCCGGCCACTGACGTTAGATTGAGTTGGGAAGAAAACACAGAGATGTTCTCCTGCTCAGATAAATCCTCTGTCTTCACTTCCAACTCTCCTCAATTAAATCTGCAAATCAGGGACAGATTTTAGAAATATCTGCTTTCCATCTAAAACCTGTTTCTGTTAGTAGCAGATCTGATGGATAGAAGCTATCAGCCATCAACCATACAGGACTTCAGATCGGTCGGGTCCTGCTGGAGTCTAGCTCTATTTCTATTCAAACTTAGCATAAGGATACCTGAGGAGGAGTCCTCAGGGGGAACTGATCAGTCTGATTCTGTTCATGATGGGCCAAACCAGAGAAACAGGACTACACTGGAAAACAGGCCAAGCTCCAACATCTAGAAACAAAGGTGTTGATGGCAGCAGCACAGCTGATATTTCTCTCCAGGATGGAGTCACAGCCAAACAGGAACAGACCAGATGATGCTACTATGAGAAAAAGCAGAGAGAGCAGAACGTTAGAGATTGAACTAACAGATTCTGCAGAGTGGGAGAATAGAGATAGAATGAAGCAGAATGATGAAAAAGGGGTCCCTATGTCCTCCAGCAGTCTAAGCCTATAGCAGCATAACTATAGAGATAGCTCAGGATAACCTGAGCCACTCTAACTAGAAGCTTTATCAAAAAGGAAAGTTTTAAGCCTTGCCTTAAAAGTAGAGCCTCACGGACTAAAACTGGTAGTTGGTTCCACAGGAGAGGAGCCTGAGAACTAAAAGATCTGCCTCCCATTCTACTTTTAGAAATTCTAGGAACCACTTGTAAACCTGCAGATTGATTTATATGTGAGAAGGAGGATTTTAAATTCTATTCTGGATTTAACAGGAAGCCAATGAAGAGAAGCCAGGATAGGAGAGATATGATCTCTCTTTTTCATTTTCATCAGAACTCTGGCTGCAGCATTTTGGATCAGCTGAAGGCTTTTAACTACAGTTTGTGGACTTCCTGATAGTAAAGAATTACAATAGTCCAGCCTTGAAGTAACAAATGCATGGACTAGTTTCTCAGCATCACCCCTGGACAGGAGATTTCTCATTTTTAAGATACATTGTTTCTTTAATTCCTCCCAGTAATCCCAGTAAACCAGAAGAGATTTTTATAAATAACGATAAAATCCTATACTGTAAAATATTTTCAAACTAGATAGATTCCAAAGGGAAAGAGGAGAGGAGTCCCCAATAATAACATTTTGGCATCAATCATATACTGGCTATGGGAGGCTGGTTAAACTTTCCTCTGATTACAATCATCTCATTAAAACAGAAGAGGGGTTAAATCTCAAAGGAAAACTTTCCCTGAATATCTATTAATATCTATTGTCTATTACTTTGGCTTTCCTAGATAAGCTGCTTTATGTAGAAGAGATTTTCTCTGTCCTGCTCCAACAGTTGAATCCCTTTATTTGCTGCTTTGTCTACATTTAATTCATTATTGTTTTTATGTTTTTCCAGCGGAAATACACGACCAACCCTATGGCCATGGCCAGAGTGATCTCCACCTGCCTTAGGGAGGAGCGGCGGATCCTGTCCAGCACCTGCACGCAGGAACAGGTGTGTCTGCTGGGAACAGGAAGTCTCTCTACTCCTTTATTTACAGCAGCAGCTTGTGAACCAGGAAGGAAGACGCTGCTGTGGCATTTCTCCTTAATACCAACAACCTTTTCAGCACTTTAAGTCTCATAGCAACAAGGAACTAGATGATATGGTTTAACTGTTTTGTAGTTTGAATATATAAAAAAGTGGCATTTAAATTAAGATCTCAATTTATTGTGAAATATATTTTAAAACTCCTCCAGTTGATGTGAAAGTTCAGAAAATCCTTTTAACATTTCTGATCCTGTTTGGTTTCTTACATCCCAATATGGCTGCCAAACACCCAGCATCAAACGGACACAGAGAGCAGCTGAAGGAAATTAAATTTATTAATCTGCATGTAAAGGGTGTCTGTGTCAAACACTGAGATCAAGATAAACACAATAGATTACATTTTGTTGTCAATACACTGTCACAAGGACAAAGCAACAAAGTGCTTTACAGTAAATAACCATTTACTGACATGGAGTATAAATGATTTATATAAAGAGAATAATTGTAAGAGGCAATAAAATTAATATGGACACTAAACACTGGTTATACAGGAAAGTTAGGAAATGGATTTTATATCTATTTATATTAGTGGGTTTATAATACAGGATAAATAATGACAGATAATAGCAGATAAAAGATTTACAGACGCTATAGTTGAGACGGGGGGGGCTACAGTCCTTATAGGTTAGGGTTAGGGGGGGCTACAGTCCTTATAGGTTAGGGTTAGGGGGGGCTACAGTCCTTATAGGTTAGGGTTAGGGGGGGCTACAGTCCTTATAGGTGGTCTTATGAGGCGTTCAGGACCATGACAGCTAGAAGCTGTTCTGGTACCTGCTGGTTCTAGTCTGTAGGTTTCTGTAGTGCCCCCCAGAGGGCAGCAGTGAGCAGAGTGTCTCTGCAGGGTAGGGGGGTCCTTGGTTATTTTCCGGCCCGTTTCAGATGCTGCTTCCTGTAGATGTCCTTGATGGCAGGGAGCGTTGCCCTGGTGACGGGCTGGGCCGTTTTCACCACCCTCTCCAACGAGGCACAGCAGCTCCCATCCCAAACTGTGATACCGATGGTGAGGATGCTCTCCATGGTCCAGCGGTGGAAGTTGGTGAGGATCTCTGAGGACAGATGGTATTTCTTCAGGGTCCTCATAAACAAGAGGCACTGGTGCACCCTCTTAATGAGTTTGGAGCAGCTGGTGGTCCCAGTCAGGTCCTTGGAGATGTGGACTCCCAGGAACAGTCTGTCCACACGCTCCACCACCGTCCCATTGATGTGGATCAGTGTTCCTCCTGAAGATCAAAATGAGCTCCTTCATCTATCATCTACTCAGTGTTCAGCTGCAGGTTGTTTGTGTCACTCAGCCAGACGGTTCACCTCCTCCCTGTAGGCGGACTCATCGTTGTCTCTGTAAGGCTGATCACCATGGTGTTGTCTGCAAATGTGATGATGGAGTTAGAGCCATGGATGGGTCTGTAGTCATGGGTGAGGAGGGAGTAGATGAAAGGACTCATCACGCAGCTCAACAGTGTTTATAGTGATGGTGGATGACGAGTGGTTGTCCAGTCGGAAATGTTGAGGGTGATTGGTCAGGAAGTCGAGGGCTGTGAGTTTGGTAATGAGTTTTGATGGGATAACAGTGTTAAATGCTGAACTAAAGTCTATGAACAGCATTCTGGAGTGTTTCTACTTTCCAGATGTAAAAGGATGGATGGAGTTTGCATCCACTGTGGGGGGGTGGGGCGGGGGTTGGGAGGGGGACGGGTGGGGGGGGGGGTCTGCTGCTCAAAGAACTCGGTGATGATGGGGGTGAGGGCTACCTGTCAGTAATTATTGAGTCTGGATGGGTTGTAGTTCTTGGGGGTCGGGACAATGCAGGTAAACTTGAAGCAGGTCGGGACCCCAGCATGTGCCAGGGACAGGATGAAGATGTCCATTAGCACTCCTGTCCCCTATCCACAGCACACTCTGAGGACAAGTCCAGGGCTGCCTTCAGGACCCGCAGCCTTGTGGGCTTTAATCCTGCCCAGAACCACTTCTAGGTCAGTGGCTGGTGGTCTGGGCTAATGGCTACCTTGGTTGCAGCTGTAGTGCTCCCTCTCTCAAAACAAGTTGTTGAGGAAGGAGACATCAGAGGAGGCAGTGGAGGTGTTGGTGGTCCTGTAGTCTGTTACAAACTGAAGCCCTTGCCAAATAGGTTGGGGGTCTGAGGGATTGCTGAAGAGTCAATGAGTCGATGCAATCAGCTGGTTTTCCTTAGACAGAAAACTTTGAATCAATCTGACTGGATGATCTGGTTGAACTGGAAAGTGACCTGAGATGACATGATGTGAATTGGCGCTATAGAAATAAACTGAACTGAATACAGAGAGAATGGGAGATCAGTCATTTTTCAACATGATGTGCAGCCTAACTATGGCAGACCCTAAAGCTCTTCCTCTTTATATTCTAATCTTCTCAGTGCAGTGAGAATAAGAAAAATGTGAATTATCATTGAAGATAACTGAACATTTTGAACAGGGAGCACTGGAGCAATCATTGCAGGACTCCGTGGCCTTTGAGAGACAAAAGAATATGGACAACAGAGTGGGCATCATCAGGAATAGTGTCCAGGTAACTAGAAACATCTTCATTGTTGATGCAGATCAGGTCTAATTCATGTGTTTTAAAAATGATCAAATGTTTGTTTGTAGCTTATGGACCAAGCAGTGAAAAACATTGAGGACATGCAGGATGACTTTGATTTCTGTTACAAGACATTACAGTCACGGGGTGAGAACTTCACTGCTTCAATGATTGACCTGAACTGAATCAGGCTTCAGGATCTGGACAGTAAAAAAAAAAACCTGTATGGTCATTTTTAATGCATGTTTCAGAATCAGCAGATAGAACCTCTGATATGATAAAACAGGGGATAACAAGACTACAGGAAATGCTCAACAGGCTTGACTTCAAAAGGAAGGTGTGTGTTAGCGAAGCACAATCTTTATAGATAAAGACTTGTTTCTGAATCAAAGAAATTCAATATCCTTAATTCTTACATTACTTTTTAGGAGATTCTGTCAAAGATGGACGTGGTGATCAAAGAGATTGATGACCTGATGACCTCTCAGCTCAGACCTGAGCTAATGGACTGGAAACGCAGGCAGCAGATTGCTGCCATCGGTGGCCCCATGCTTACTGGGCTGGAGCAGCTGCAAAGTTGGTATGCAACTGCTGCTGTGTGGAGCTGGTTGACAGTTGCCTTTTGTATCTATGCTTCTTTTTCTATGTCTGCTTCTGTCTCCTTGAACCCCAGTGGGCCTCAGCAGATGGCCGCTCACACTGAGCCTGGTTCTGCTGGAGGTTTCTTCCTGTTCAAAGGGAGTTTTTCCTCTCCACTGTCGCTACAAGCATGCTTAGTGTGAGGGATTGCTGAAGAGTCAATGAGTCGATGCAATCAGCTGGTTTTCCTTAGATAGAAAACTTTGAATCAATCTGACTGGATGATCTGGTGAACTGGAAAGTGACCTGAGATGACATGATGTGAATTGGAGCTATAGAAATAAACTGAATAGAATTTAACTGACAGGAGATCAGACCTGAGCAGATGATTGAGGAAGGCAGGAAAGTCAGGATGCACCTAAATGCACCATAGCTATCTGACACTCGTGAATGCATGACACTGGTCTGTGAACGCTGTGCTGTGTAGAAGCGTGTTTGATTTTCCGCTTAAGACAAACTTTTGGAGTTTCCAAACTCACGTCGGCATCACTGTTTATTGTTGTGTGTGAATAAAAAGAGATCAGTCGTACCTCGGACAAAATCTTTGGATTGAATGTTGTTCATTAAACACCCGTACTTTTGTAAATGAATCTGCCAAATGACCACAGTTTTTTTTCCCACGAGAGGAATATTTAAACGTTTTTATATCATCAATATAACAACAAGTAGCTCCATTGGACATATTTTAATCCGTTTTCCTCGTCGATAGTCGCCATTGTACAGAGCGAGGCGCGCTCCCGCAACTGGGTATAGATATCTCGGCAGGCATGCACTTTTCGGCATAACACCAGACCGCGGTCCGCTAATCCGTGACCTCTGCATTAGACCGAAGCCAAGAGTAACGAGTAACGGTTGTTTATAAATGTAAGGAATAGAAAGTACAAATACTTGCGTGAAAATGTAATAAGTAGAAATCAGAAGTAGGAGGAAAAATAAGTAATGGAGTAAAGTATAGATACCTAAAAAGTGTACGAAAGTACAGTAACAAAGTATTTGTACTGCATTACTTGACACCTCTGGTCCTGTCAGCCTCAGAAACACGCTGCATGTTGGTATGACTTCAGCAGGAAACGTGACTCTGTTAGAATTCACATTTATTGTCACTACACTTTCACAAGTACAAAGCAACAAAATTCACTTTCTGCATTTAACCCCTCCCCTTGGGGAGCAGTGGGCTGCCATTGTGCAGCGCCCAAGGCGCAGTGTGGAGTTAAGGGTCTTGCTCAGGTACCCAGAGTGGCAGTCTGTGGGAGTTGGGCTTGAACTCCGGGACCCATTTGCAATGCCCTAACCACTAGGCTGACTAGTGGATGACTAGTGACAATGCCCTAGGCACTAGGCCCGGCTAGTGGACCTAATGGTTAGGCCATTGTCACTAGTCATCCACTAGTCGGCCTAGTGGTTAGGGTATTGTCACTAGTCATCCACTAGTGGACCTAGTGGTTAGACCATTGTCACTAGTCATCCACTAGTCAGCCTAGTGGTTAGGCCATTGTCACAAGTCATCCACTAGTCAGCCTAGTGGTTAGGGCATTGTCACTAGTCATCCACTAGTCAGCCTAGTGGTTAGACCATTGTCACTAGTCATCCACTAGTGGACCTAGTGGTTAGACCATTGTCACTAGTCATCCACTAGTCAGCCTAGTGGTTAGGCCATTGTCACTAGTCATCCACGAGTCAGCCTAGTGGTTAGGCCATTGTCACTAGTCATCCACTAGTCGGCCTAGTGGTTAGGGCATTGTCACTAGTCATCCACGAGTCAGCCTATTGGTTAGGCCATTGTCACTAGTCATCCACTAGTCGGCCTAGTGGTTAGGGCATTGTCACTAGTCATCCACTAGTCAGCCTAGTGGTTAGACCATTGTCACTAGTCATCAGTGATGGGACTAACGGTTAGGGTATTGTCACTAGTCATCCACTAGTGGACCTAGTGGTTAGACCATTGTCACTAGTCATCCACTAGTCAGCCTAGTGGTTAGGCCATTGTCACAAGTCATCCACTAGTCAGGGGTGCACATCACGGACAACCTCACCTGGACTGTAAACACTTCATCTCTAGTGAAGAGGGCACAGAAGCGCTTGTACTTTCTGCGGAGGATGAGGAGAGCCCGCCTGCCCCCGCCCATCCTCACAACCTTCTACAGAAGCACCATAGAGAGCGTTCTGACCAGCTGTCTCTCTCTGTGGTGTGGAGGCTGCAGAGCTTCTGACTGGAAGAATGTGAGGAGGGTGGTGAGGACAGCGGAAGGAATCATTGGGGCTCCTCTTCCCTCCATTAAGGACATTTCATCACAGCGCTGTGTGTCCCGAGCCCGTAATATCATCAAAGACCCCTCACACCCCCACCATGGACTGTTCTCCCTGCTGCCCTCTGGAAAGAGGTTCCGCAGCATCCGCTGCAGATCCACCAGGTTGTGCAACAGCTTCTTCCCCACTGCCATCAGACTGTTGAACCTTTGATCCACAATCCGAACTCTGCACCTATTGCACATTATCGGGCATCAAATGCTGCTGAACTTTTAACTTTTAGCCCTTTAAATTGTTCATCTCATTGTATTTTTCAATAACGCATTTTTTGCACAAATGCCATTTTGCACTGAACCACTGCAACTTGCACACTGTCTCTTATCCTCTGCACTGTTCACACTTTGACCACTGCTGCACTTTTTGTATTTTTCTATAACTCGTGCCATTTGAAATATCAATGCAACGTTCATAAGCTGTATGTAACGCAATTTCGTTCTGTATGCACCCTGTGCATACAAAATGACAAATAAAGAAGTCTAAGTCTAAGTCTAAGTCTAAGTCAGCCTAGTGGTTAGGGCATTGTCACTAGTCATCCACTAGTCAGCCTAGTGGTTAGACCATTGTCACTAGTCATCCACTAGTGGACCTAGTGGTTAGACCATTGTCACTAGTCATCCACTAGTCAGCCTAGTGGTTAGGCCATTGTCACAAGTCATCCACTAGTCAGCCTAGTGGTTAGGGCATTGTCACTAGTCATCCACTAGTCAGCCTAGTGGTTAGACCATTGTCACTAGTCATCCACTAGTGGACCTAGTGGTTAGACCATTGTCACTAGTCATCCACTAGTCAGTCTAGTGGTTAGGCCATTGTCACAAGTCATCAGTGATGGGACTAACGGCGTTGAAAGTAACGGCGTTATTAACGCCGTTACCTTGTTTTAGTAACGAGTAATCTAACTAATTACTTTGACTGTAACTATAACGCAGTTACCATTGCAGACTCCCCGTTACTGTGCGTTACTCAGGTCGCACAATGAACCTTTTTTCATGATATGACTCGTGCGCAGCTGCGTGAAGCTGACACCCCACCCACGTCAAAAAAATCTGCAAATAGACTGAATGGTTAGTGCAACGTTAGTGAAGATTTGTGCAGAAAAAAATATTGTTTGTGCTACTTTTGTTTAAGAGATATTAAAGATTATTTTTTAGGTCATCCAGAGGTGTGCGCCTTGTCATGAGAGAGGGGAGGATGAGAATGGCTGATGTATAGTGAGATTCCGTCTGTCAGTTGGGTAGGTGGGTGTTTCTGCTGGCGGGTGTTAACGTACAGCACACACAGAGAGATGGAGAGTGAGGATGACTCCAGCAGCAAAACAGCGTTTTCCACATGGAAATACCGGTGTTACGTCAAGCTGCGTTTCCCCATCAGATACGGTTTCCCCTGCATCTCCGCACAGCGCAGGCGGCATGAGTCACCGCGCAAGCGACAGGAAACGCGCATGCTCGCTAAAGGCGCGCACCAGTCGCCCTGTGCTCGCGCCACAGGAGAACTATGGAGAGCGTGAACGATCAAATGATAGCCTATATGAAGAAAGGGAGAAATCTGGATGGATGGATGGATGGATGTATGGATGGATGGATACTCTGCCTTCTCAACCTACTGTATTTTTTATTTTAAACGTTATTTGATGGCCTTTGTGGCAGGGATGGAGATCCATATTTTATGTCACACACAGAGTATAGATCTAGATAGATAGATAGATAGATGTTGCAGTATCTATAACAACCCAAACACACAGGGTTTCAGAATTAGACATCCCCAGTTATTAATTTCATATACTCACCAGATCTGAACGCCCTGTTAAAAAACTTCACATCGCGTTCCCCCCCTGACGTCATTTACGTTGAGTTGCAATAAATGCAAAACTCTCTGCAGGTTCTTGTCTTTGTCGTCTGCTCTATTCAGCTGGCTTTGGAAACACACAGCGAGAAGGTGGGGGCTGGGTGGGGAGGGTTACGGGGGCGAGAAACGCAAAAGTAACGCAATAGTTACTTTTACTAGTAACTAGTTACTTTTATTGTGGAGTAACTCAGTTAGTAACTCAGTTACTTTTTGGGAGAAGTAACTAGTAACTATAACTAATTACTTTTTCAAAGTAACGCGCCCAACACTGCTAGTCATCCACTAGTCGGCCTAGTGGTTAGACCATTGTCATTAGTCATCCACTAGTCGGCTTAGTGGTTAGGCCATTGTCACTAGTCATCCACTAGTTGGCCTAGTGGTTAGGGCATTGTCACTAGTCATCCAATAGTTGGCCTAGTGGTTAGGCCATTGTCACTAGTCATCCACTAGTTGGCCTAGTGGTTAGGGCATTGTCACTAGTCATCTACTAGTCAGCCTAGTGGTTAGGGCATTGTCACTAGTCATCCACTAGTCAGCCTAGTGGTTAGGGCATTGTCACTAGTCATCCACTAGTCGGCCTAGTGGTTAGGGCATTGTCACTAGTCATCCACTAGTCAGCCTAGTGGTTAGGGCATTGTCACTAGTCATCCACTAGTCGGCCTAGTGGTTAGGGCCTTGTCACTACTCATCCACTAGTCGGCCTAGTGGTTAGGGCCTTGTCACTACTCATCCACTAGTCGGCCTAGTGGTTAGGGCCTTGTCACTACTCATCCACTAGTCGGCCTAGTGGTTAGGGCATTGTCACTAGTCATCCACTAGTCGGCCTAGTGGTTAGGGCCTTGTCACTACTCATCCACTAGTCGGCCTAGTGGTTAGGGCCTTGTCACTACTCATCCACCAGTCGGCCTAGTGGTTAGGGCATTTTCACTAGTCATCCACTAGTCGGCCTAGTGGTTAGTGGATGCATTCAGAGGATCGCTGATTTCATCTGAAAACCTTGTGCAAACTTTCTCTTCTCTCAGGTTTACTCTGACAGCACAGAGCCTCTTCCAGATCAAGCGGCAGTTGGACAAACTGGGGGAACTGGTTGTGAAAGTTACATATGAGAGTGACCCAATCCCACTACAAAAACCTCAGATGGAGGAACGAGTTAAATACCTTATCTACCATCTCATCAAGAGGTATAGCAATGGCTAATTGAAGCCTGTACTAACATGGATTAGGTTTAGATAATGATATTAGTTACATCTTTTCTACCGAATGATTCACAGAAATGTTTTTTTTATTTCTAATTTGTATTTCTTTGCAGACAGAAAAGCTAAATATAGTATATAAAATATAGTTGAGATGCAGGGAAACTGTTTTTAAACCATTTTAGAATTAAAAACACATAGAATGAGAAATATTTTGTCTTCCTGCAACTTCTGTGTATTTGGTTTGTTTTTAGCTCGTTTGTGGTGGAGAAGCAGCCCTGCATGCCCACCCATCCACAGAAACCTCTCATCATCAAGACCGGAGTGCAGTTCACCACTAAAGTCAGGTATCTGGACTCTTTCTCTTCCTTCACATTTTCTAACAAGCTCAATTATTTCTGCTATTTCATTTCTTTTCCTTGTGATTTCTTTCAGACTTTTGGTCAAACTCCCTGAAGTGGATTATCAACTAAAAGTTAAAACGACATTTGACAAGTAAATAACCACAGGCTGGTCTCTCAGTATTTTCTATGTGATTTAATCTGAGGACTAATTTGTATGTTCTTGTGTCTGTAGAGACCTCCCCCCTGGCAGAGTGTGAGTACAAACCTCTTAATCTTTAGTGTGTTGCTGCAGGAAGCATCCAAACACACCTGATATTGAAGGATCTCTGTGATTCCTGCTGCTTGTTATCAGACGTATATTTGTGTGATAAACTAATTGTACGCATCACAGAAATGTCATGTTCTATTTCCCCGAACCTGTTCATACAGCCAAGCTGTTTGTTTAAAAATCCATCATTACAGAAAGGCTGCACTGGGCATACAGGTGTTAGTTAGAACAACGCTGAGGTGGACAGAGATCAGCCATGACCTCAGAGAACCTAGCTAGGACGCAATGACATCTCCAAACATCATAACATCTCAGGCAGCTGCTCATCTTTCCAGGAGAAGTGAAGCATGAACTTTGGGAACTACCACTCTAGCTGTGCTTCTCTTCCTTATGGGGTTCCACAGGGTTCAGTGTTAGGACCCCTTCTCTTTTCCTTTTACTTGCTGCCTCTGAGGTCCATTCTGAGAATACAGAATTAGAAATCAGAAATACTTAAATAATACACAGCATCTCTTGCCCTTTCTGTACTGATGATAGTCAGATATATGTGCCTGTTAAAAAGAAAATTCCTTCTGCCTCGCACCACTGCAGGCATGCCGTAAGGACATTAACGCCTAGTTGGCTCTGAACTTTTTATATCTTAACAAGGAAAAACTGAAGCTATGGTGTTTGGTACGGAAGCTCAGTGGAGACACAGCTAATTCCCCTTACCTAAGTGGGGGAGAGGTACCCTAACACCCCCCCCCCCATTAGACCTCTTCAGTGTCTCTTTTTAAAACTCATCTGAAAACCTATTTTCACACAGCATGACACTTTTTTTTTGTTTTTTATTAAGAAATACATGAACAGTGGCCTAGTCAAAACTCAGACCTTGACCTGATAAAATTCTGTGATGGAACCAAGATCCAAAAGGACGGAAGAAGGGTTTGGCTGTTGTTGGTAGATCTTCAATCATCAGCTGCATCCTGGGGAGGAGATAATAATAATAATAAAAATGAACTTTATTGATCTCACATTGTAGAAATTTCCTCTCTGCATTTAACCCATCCTCTTGGGGAGCAGAGGGCTGCCATTGTGTGGCGCCCAGGGAGCAGTGTGGGGTTAAGGGTCTTGCTCAGGGACCCAGAGTGGCAGGCTGTGGGAGTTGGGCTCGAACTCAGAACCTCAGGATTCAAAGCCCTGTGGCCTAAGCACTAGGCTGCCCCTCCCCTTATTAAAATACTCCCCTTATTAAGATACCTGCTAAGCAAAGTTCTGAAAACACATCGGGTGCATCTTTGTCTCTCCTCAGAAGTCGACAGTTTTTCATCCTCACAAACAACACTAAAGTGATGGACATTGAGGATTACTCAAACGGCTGCCTCTCCGTGGAGTTCAGACACTTGGTAGGAAAGTGTTCCACTGACTTCTGGACCAAATGTTCGCCCAGCTTCTGGAGGTTAACTGAGTTTGTGTTTTACAGCAGCTGAAAGAGAAGAAATACTCCAATGGCACCAAGGGAAACGAGGTAATGGGAGGACTGTTTGATTATGTCTGTTAGAGGTGGATGATCTTCTTTGGGCTTCAGGTCTCAGGGGAACATCTGATCTATCCGTGGTCCCACATGAAGACCTCAGTGTGGTGCTCGTCTCCTCTTGCTGTGCACTTCTGGTGTTTCTGTATCCAGTTAGCTAAAGTCCTCTCATCATATACTTGAAAATGAGCGGCATGTGTCTGGGAGCTTCCTCCATGCCATAGTGGAACAGCAGGACGTTCTGTGCATGTACAGTTGGGCGTCTCTTTCCTTCATTTCCAAAAGAATGGTCCACTGCACCTTTAAGACTGAGTCCCGTTTGATCAGGCAAACTCAGGCGCTGATGCATTCTGCATTTCTCTTTGCAGGGTCTGCTGTCTGTGACAGAAGAACTTCACTCGTTGAGTTTCGAGGCCTGCTTCACGGTGCAGGGCCTCACCATCGACCTGGAGGTCAGCAGAGGGGCAGGCTGTCTTTGTCCTGTTGGGCTCTTCTTGTTTTTCTTCATCAATGCTTCATAATGTCGTTCTCCAGACGTGCTCCCTGCCTTTAGTGGTGATTTCCAATGTGAGCCAGCTGCCAGGCGGCTGGGCCTCCGTCATGTGGTACAACCTCCTGACCGACGAGCCCAGGGTGACTTTTAACACTTTATTTCAACGTTTAGAATCAGTCGCTCTAATTCATAAATTTAGGTTATTGAATAAAATAATATTATAAGGACTAATTTGTAGAAATTTTATTTGATTTATATTATTTTAGAAATAACTTGAAAATTATGTTTTTTACTCTTTATTACTCGTTTTACTTTAAAACTTATCCTGCTCACTTTCAGGCTTGTCCTGGTTGGATATGATGTTTGTTTCCAATAGAATGTCCCTCATTGTAACATCTAGGATTCATAATCACCTTCATCATGTTTATCTTCTAATTCCCCACAGAACCTGGGCTTCTTCGGGAACCCGACACGGGCCAGCTGGAGCCAGCTCTCTGAGATGCTCAGCTGGCAGTTTTCCACCTTCGCTGGTCGAGGCCTCAACAAAGAGCAGCTGGATATGCTGGGAGAAAAACTGCTGGGTGAGAATCTCAGTGGATGAAACAGGTTATGTTGACAGTTTGAAGCTAAGTATGTTTTACAGTGTTTTGCCCTTGACCAAAATCTAATAAAAATAAAATTAACTCTAATTAGGGAAAAAGTTAAAATGATTTAATGTGGTCTGTTTAACATAAGATCGCTTTCCTCTAAAAGTCTACTAGTTAATGACTTGATTTGTGATAATCACATTGACTTGTGTTGCCTTACAGAAACCTGGCTGCAGCAAGAGGATTATGTGAGCATAAACGAGGCAACTCCTTCAAGCTATTTAAATTTTCACATCCCCAGAAGTTCTGGGCGAGGAGGAGGAGTAGCAACAATCTTTCAGTCTGACTTAATTCAATTCAATTCAATTCAATTGATTTTATTTATATAGCGCCAAATTCACAACACATGTCATCTCAAGGCACTTTACAGTTCAACCAGATCATACAGTAAAATTGATACAAAGTTTTCTATCTAAGGAAAACCAGTTGATTGCATTGACTCATTGACTCAAATACAATCCCTCACACTAAGCATGCTTGTAGCGACAGTGGAGAGGAAAAACTCCCTTTTAACAGGAAGAAACCTCAAGCAGAACCAGGCTCAGTGTGAGCGGCCATCTGCCGAGACCGACTGGGGTTCAAGGAGACAGAAGCAGAGATACAAAAAGCAGCTGTAAAAGGCGGCCCCGTCCAGGAAACACACAGCCAGGCAAACGAGCTCCAAGGCAGCTCCCATGCCAGAGGATGAAGAGAGCACATCCACCCAGCCACGGTGAGAGAAACAGGACCACACTGGAAAACAGGCCGATCTCCAACATCTATAAACAAGGGTGTTGATGGAAGCAGCACAGCTGATGTTTCTTTCCTGGATGACGTCACAGCCAAACAGGAACAGATGAGGCAAAGCTACTCTGAGGAAAAGCAGAGAGAGCAGAAGGTTAGAGATTGAACTAACAGATTCTACAGAATAGGAGAACAGAGAGAGAATGAAGCAGAATGATGAAAAAGGGGTCCCTATGTCCTCCAGCAGTCTAAGCCTATAGCAGCAGAACTATAGAGATAGCTCAGGATAACCTGAGCCACTCTAACTAGAAGCTTTATCAAAAAGGAAAGTTTTAAGCCTAGCCTTAAAAGTAGACAGGGTGTCTGCCTCACGGACTAAAACTGGTAGTTGGTTCCACAGGAGAGGAGCCTGATAACTAAAAGATCTGCCTCCCATTCTACTTTTAGAAATTCTAGGAACCACTAGTAAACCTGCAGACTGAGAGCGAAGTGCTCTGTTAGGAACATAAGGAACAATCAGATCTCTGATATCAGATGGAGCTTGGCCATTTAAGGCTTTAAATGTGAGAAGGAGGATTTTAAATTCTATTCTTGATTTAACAGGAAGCCAATGAAGAGAAGCCAGGATAGGAGAGATATGATCTCTCTTTTTCATTTTCATCAGAACTCTGGCTTCAGCATTTTGGATCAGCTGAAGGCTTTTAACTACAGTTTGTGGACTTCCTGATAGTAAAGAATTACAATAGTCCAGCCTTGAAGTAACAAATGCATGGACTAGTTTCTCAGCATCACCCCTGGACAGGAGATTGCTCATTTCTGCAATGTTCCTCAGAATAGAGCTCCTCAGCTCTATTCTCCCACTCTGCAGAATCTGTTAGTTCAATCTCTAACGTTCTGCTCTCTCTGCTTTTTCTCATAGTAGCTTCATCTGGTCTGTTCCTGTTTGGCTGTGACTCCATCCTGGAGAGAAATATCAGCTGTGCTGCTGCAATCAACACCTTTGTTTCTAGATGTTGGAGATTTGCCTGTTTTCCACTGTAGTCCTGTTTCTCTGACAGTGCCTTTTTGTATCTCTGCTTCTGTCTCCTTGAACCCCAGTGGGCCTCAGCAGATGGCCGCTCACACTGAGCCTGGTTCTGCTGGAGGTTTCTTCCTGTTAAAGGGGAGTTTTTCCTCTCCACTGTTGCTACAAGCATGCTTAGTGTTAGGGCAGGCTCAGACTGGGAACAATTTTCAGCCCTGGCATTTTTCCATCTACATCAGCCCACTTATGGAATATTTGTTGCAAGGATTTCACAGTTTAAAGAAATGGAAAATGACACCATATGCCAACCATCACAAGTATGTGCATGAAAAGGAAGGACTGCATGCATCATTTAGGTAGTTTACTTTTTTGTCATATTTTGAACGTGTGACTTAATGGGCGCAATAACTGAGACAGTTGGTATCTCAACCCTAAACGAACTGACACCCTCCTCCTGGTTTCAGCTCCTTATGAAGGCTGGTAATTAGCTCTGATGGAACACACCTGCCCATCCAGAGGGAGAGAAAGAAAAACAGACTTACACCTAGACCACAGAGTATGACAATGGTATTACTTCTTGAGCTCCTTGAGTTGTTTACTGTCACAGGTAGGTGCTTCGGTCCGACAGCAAGTGGTGGGGCCGATATGATTTAAGGAGGGCCGGCCCTCGCACGCTGAAATTAGGACCGGCCCACCAGGAAAATGCCCGCTATCACAGATTAGCAGTCCGAGCCTGTGTGAAGGATTGCTGAAGGGTCAATGAGTCGATGCAATCAGCTGGTTTTCCTTAGAGAGAAACTTTGAACCATTTTGACTGGATGATCTGGTAGAAGTGTCTCTATAAAGTGACCTGAGATGACATCATGTGAATTGGAGCTTTATAAATAAACTGAATAATTCATTTCTTTGCAGATGACTAGCCTAGTAAACTAGCCCCACACGCTAGTTTAGTCTAATAGTTAGTTAATCAGGCTAGCAGGCGACATTATCTAATTCTCCAGAGACCCAATGGAAACAATCAACTAATTTAATAAAAAAAAAACAGGAAAACCACAGAGAACATAAAAAATATGCTTCTTCTTAATCCATCAGCTTTACTTTCAGCTTAACTAATACCTGTCAGGATTAGGTTGAGGTTTGAGGACCCAAATGCAGAGGCTGGGAGGCAGAGGTGAGTTTGATGATTTAATGAACTGTTTACAGACAGCTGAGGCAGGAACCCAAAAAGTCCAAAAATCAAACGTGAAAAAAAGTCAAACAAACCAAAAACCATGGAGAAATCAGGGGAAAAACAATCACGACGAGGAAGACCCAGAGAGACGGAGTTGCAGGAAGTTAGACGGGGAACCAGCACTGAGGAACTGCATAATGAGTGTATTTATGGGCGACTGAGAAAAGAGAGGACTAACAAGCAGATTGGGAGCAGGTGTGAACAGAGCAGACAGGAAAGGAGCTAGGGAAAAGGAGAACACAAGAGGGCAGCAGAGGAAAACAAATAAAAACCTAAACAATAACCAGAAAACACAACAAAATAAAAATTAAACCACTAAAACTAGTAAACATGGAGCAAAGTAAAACAGAATACTAAAAAGAAAACATAACAGAACCAAGACTGTGACAATACCGAGGAAATCTGAACTGATGTTTTCATAAAGGAGCAGCTTTTAAATACATCAGCTGCTATGGCTTCAACATTTCTGTTACCATGTGTGTCTGCAGGCCAGCTTGTCTCATGTGGGGACTATCAGGTTTCCTGGTCCAAGTTCGCTAAGGTAAGTGACCTGATGGAGCGCCGCATTGACCTCAGCGCTGCTAAGCCAAACGGTTTTCAGCGGAAATGCAAAAGTTGTGGCTTTCATGTTGTCGGGCATCATGGCTACAATGATCCCTGTTTAAATATAAATCTATATAAATACACATTTAAACATCCTGTGCAATAACCCTGTATAATAATCCTGCTATTAAAAAAAACTTGTCCAATGTGGATGCACCGTTTATTCTGTATGTATCCCATCATGCACCTTTTCTTCCTTTGGCTCCTTCTTCTTCTGCTTTGACTACTTGAGCTGATGTAACGAGTAAATTTCTCCACTGTGAGATCAATCAATCAATCAATCAATTCCATGTCTGCTTCCCTTATAAAGGAGAATATTCCCGGGAAACCCTTCAGCTTCTGGATGTGGCTGGACTCCATCCTGGAACTCATCAAGAAGCACCTGCTGCCAGTTTGGAATGAGAAGTAAGCTAGAACATCTCTAGGTTTCTATTTCTATTACCCATCAGTCTTTGAACTGCTTAAAAAAATAGCAAATAAAAAGCCAGATTTAGGCTGATGAGTGTGTAATAGAGACAGACACGGGAGTGGATTTTCACTCCTGTCCCGTCCCACTCCCACAGAAAAAAATTGTGTCCCGTCCCGATCCCGGGCCAGAGTAGAATTCTAAATCCTGTCCCGTCCCACTCCTGGAGAAATTACTCCCACTCCCATCCCGCTCCCATTCAGAATGACTCCCGCTCCCGCACCACTCCCATTCTGTTTTTTTTTTTTAGCGCGGGTGAAAAACTAAGAGCAGAAGCACTGTTGGTTTTTGGGTCATGTAGTTTTTTTGACTCGCATTATAGTGTAGGCTTCACGGAAAAAAAATACAAAATGGCGGCGCCAGTACTGGATTTTTTTTCTTTCTATTTAATTTTATTTTTTGGCATCGATCCTAGTTTTTTTTTTGTTACTATTGGTTTGCTCCCGCTCCCGTCTGCTCCCGTTAATGTTTAATCCTGTACCGTCCCAATCACGTGATCGTTACTAATACTGACTCCCATCCCACGGGAATCCCGTGACCCGTGGAATTCCTGAAAAAATGTCAGTCTCTAGTGTATAACTGGGTCAGTCCTCAGGCTTGGGTTTTAATCAGACTTTACTGACCGCTGAGGTATAAAACAGGTTGAATCCAGATTGTCTCCTAAACCTAAACTGGACCAATGAGCAGTTTAAGATGAGCTTGTTTCCTTCTGCGATATTTGCCTTAAAAAGGTCAAACAGGGGCCATAGCGGTTGAATCTTCCCATGGCTTCAGACCGTCATCATCATGACTGCAGCCATCTGTTGCCATGAAACGTCTCAGTCAGACACACGCCTCCATAGCAACTTCCTGTTCTCCAGCCTCTCACTGCGCTAGCTCTGTGAAAATAGATGCTCAGACAGATAAGGCTCCTACCCCAGGAGCTTTTTGGAGCCGGGGGGCCTCAATAGATCTGTGGTTTAATTACCAATGTCGCTTTATAAACCGTTTTATAAACAGGAACTGTATATTTTCGCTGATGAACTTTCTGTCCAAACTAGTTTTTCCGACTCATCATGAAGCCAATAATTTCTCTAGTTTCCGCCGACAGATCAGAGCAGCTCATCTTGACCGCCGTTTGACCCAGAGTCCAGGTTCTGGTGTTTAACACAGAAAACGCATCATAACCACACCCAGCTGACCCCCCCCCCCCATGCTCTATTCGCACCACCCACTTTGGTAGCGTTGTTCAGAATGGCCCCGTTTTTAGGGAGAGTTACATTTTCAGGTCTTCAACGCTCCATGAATTGTTGTCTTTTTACTTTATATACTTTTACATTTGCACTCAATATGTTCATATGAAATATACTTTTTGTTCTTTTGTTGAAGTAGTCATCAACATTTAGTCGCCTTACAACCAAGAACTTCAGTAGCTTGTGCTGAGATTCAATGTGATGAACAAGGTGCTGCTTCTGTTACTGCAGATCTATGTTTTTAGTCAGGTTAGATGGAGGACATCTGTGATCATCAGTCTTTAGCTCCTAATGCAGACCTTAGATGGATTCAAGGCTTGACTTTGACTAGGCCCTTTTTTTTAATCTAAACCATCCATCGTATCTCTGACTAGATGTTCAGGGAGGCTCTGCATCTGCATGCTGTACATCTGCCACAGTCTCTGGTCTTTGGGTAGTTCTCCAGAACTATCTGGATTTAACTCCATCCATTCCATAGCAAGTGGGACCAGCTTCCCACTGCATGATGCAGCCATTAGAAAGGACCCCAGGCACCAGTTATTGGTGTTTAAGCATTCTTAGGATTTATACCAAAACATCTTTCCTGATCTTCTCAGATCAGAACAGCTTCCCTTCTTCACGGTGAACCATAAACTGCTTCACTTCAGCATTGACGTTCTTCACTTTTATCACTTTATATCTATAATATATCTATATTGCTTCACAATAACCTCTAGTTTATGTTGGTGAGAGTTTGTTGTTGCAATGTGATAAAATGAGAATAACTTTCAGAGGAGTGAATACTTGTAATGGCTGAACTGGTGATCTCTGCCTCAAACATCCTGACCAGTATCCAGGATGCTTTACCTTCTTAAGATGTTGGTCCGCCTTTCTGCAGCACTGATACCGACTCTAATGCCGGAATATTCAGCTGTACTGGGCTTTACCCTGACCCCATCTTCCATCACTTCCTCTGACTCTTTTATCTTCTGTTCAGAGGAAGTTGAGCTTCTTTTAATCTGTTGCAGGTTATTTCTGCTTGTTTTATTGTTCAGGTCTGAACAGAGAAATGACCCAAAAAAAAGCAGCTAACAGTTTTTTCAGGTATCTTGAAGGGCAGAAGGAGAAGCTGATTTTCTTCTGTGTGACTGCAGCTACATCATGGGCTTCGTGAGTAAAGAGATGGAGCGTGCTCTGCTGAAGGACCGGGAGCCGGGGACCTTCCTGTTACGCTTCAGCGAGAGCCACCTGGGAGGAATCACCTTCACCTGGGTGGAGCACAGCGACAGCGGTGAGTTCTTCCATCAGGACTATAGGAAGCTCACAGACCGTCCATTGATTTCCTGATGGCCTTTTATTGGCCTTTGCCACGGTCCTCTCTGAAGCACTTTTTTCTGGACTTGGTTCTTTTTCAGTCCAGTCAGTGTAAATTTGTTTAATAAATATAAATATCAAATTTGGTTAAATATCAAGACCGGCTTTCAATAGTTTCCAAAGGATAGCCTGATGCACAGCTGCATCAGGTAGCAAAGTTTGGTCTGAGGAGTCTAGTTTGATTTCAGCGTTAGCCTCTGACCTGTTCCAGCAGCCCGTTCCTTCATCACGTTAACGGGTATCTTCTGCAACAGGGGACGTAAAGTTCAACTCCGTGGAGCCATACACTAAAAACCGACTGAGCGCTCTGCCTTTTGCTGACATAATCCGTGACTACAAGGTCATTTCAAATGGAGGTGTTCCCGAGAACCCGCTCAAGTTCCTGTACCCAGACATCCCCAAAGACGAGGCCTTCGGACGGCTCTACAACAGTCAGCCTAGCAAAGGTAAGATGCTAACATCTGAGCAAAGAAAAAGGACTAAACACTGAAAAACGAGCCCCACTCTATCATGTAGAACCTTGGCAGTGGTTACCCACCCTGTCCTGCATGTTTTAGGTGCCCCCCCCATCCTTGGCACTAACCTCCCTCCTCTCTGTTCAATTCTCAGTCCATCCATACATCCCATCCACCCTGATCCCCATCTCAGAGCTGCGGTGAGTCCTCAGCAACAACACCTTGACTTTCCTTTCTGCTGCGGTGAAGTGACTGGATGAATGACCTGAATCCATCCTCAAAGCAAAAATGTTTGTTGCTGTAAAAAGACAAATCAAACACTTGAGCTCAGATTAGCTGCACTTTAGCAGGGAAGCTAATTGTAGGTCTGACAAACTGACATTACCTTGATGAACTTTTAATAATAAATGAACTGATCTTGGTGATGGACTTCTGGGAAACCTTGTTATTCATCCAGTCTGCTCTAGTCCCATCGCTCTCTCTTTCTCTGATTCTAGGTCTGAAGCCAGCACCACCCCCCGCTCCTGTCCGTCTCCCGAACCCCCGATGACCCCCGGGGAGTTTGACATGCTCAGTGAACACCTGTGCTTTGACATCGACACCGTGAGTTTCCTGTTCTGAGTCCTTGGAGAACCTACTGGGGGATCCAGGGGACGCCCAGTGCCAGGGTTAGGGTTAGTTAGTATAATAACAAAGGATACACCTTCAGGGAACATTGGTTCATGTGTTCAAAGTTTTAAGTCTTCCATTCTACAATCCCTCTAAAATGTCCCCAGAGCATCAAACTCCTGCAGCTCAGCCTCATCTATGAGCTCCTAACCCTCGGCTATGAGCTCCTAACCCTTGGCTATGAGCTCCTAACCATCGGCTATGAGCTCCTAACCCTCGGCTATGAGCTCCTAACCCTAACCCTCGGCTATGAGCTCCTAACCCTCGGCTATGAGCTCCTAACCCTCGGCTATGAGCTCCTAACCCTCGGCTATGAGCTCCTAACCCTAACCCTCGGCCATGAGCTCCTAACCCTCTGCTATGAGCTCCTAACCCTCGGCTATGAGCTCCTAACCCTCGGCTATGAGCTCCTAACCCTAACCCTCGGCTATGAGCTCCTAACCCTCAGCTATGAGCTCCTAACCCTCGGCTATGAGCTCCTAACCCTCGGCTATGAGCTCCTAACCCTCGGCTATGAGCTCCTAACCCTCGGCTATGAGCTCCTAACCCTCGGCTATTAGCTCCTAACCCTCGGCTATGAGCTCCTAACCCTCGGCTATGAGCTCCTAACCCTCGGCTATTAGCTCCTAACCCTCAGCTATGAGCTCCTAACCCTCGGCTATTAGCTCCTAACCCTCGGCTATGAGCTCCTAACCCTCGGCTATGAGCTCCTAACCCTCGGCTATGAGCTCCTCCTTTGTTGCTTTTATTCCAGCCATCTGCCTTGAGGCTAACTTTATGTCTGCTAACAGTATTAAACACAGCAGGCTGTCATGGTAATGGGGGTTTATTCTGTTTATTCTGCAGGTTTACAGTAAAGACGTTTTCTTAGTTTCATTCATCAGCTCCTTTATATTTACCTAATTTTTAATCAGTTTGCTTTGCTGACTTTATGATGGGATCTTGTTTGGTGCCTGAAGAATCATTTTGCCTTGTTTATTTTCCTCTGCTTTCAGATGAGCTCCCCATATTCAGAGTGAAGTTGGATGACCATATTGATCAACAGTGTTTCCACCATTATGCCATCTCTTCATATATAAATGTTAATTTTTCCCTTAAAAAGAACCAGAACATCTTTAATAAATGTATTTAATGTTTTTTTTTCCCTTCTTATTTTGGGCTCCAAGCTCACCTTCAGATCAATGATTGTCTGTAAAAAAGTATTTTTAAATAAATTCAGAAAAATAAACTAGTTTGCTGTGTTGTACATGTGGGTTATCTCACACCTTCGCCCCCTGCTGGCCACAAAGAACTACTGCCCAGTTTGGAGCTTTTACTTTGGTGACAGCTGGAGAGGAAGTCAGAAGTGAGTCACTCCCATTCTGCTTAAAAATCTCTCATGGGCTGTGTTCGAATTCATGAGCTGGATCCTTCCAAGGACCCGGTCTACCTGGACTGGATCCTCCAAGGACCCGGTCTACCTGGACTGGATCCTTCAAGGACCTGGTCTACCTGGACTGGATCCTTCCAAGTCCGTGAAAATAAGGATATATGAAGAGTTGTGGCTGTGAATTGAACAGGTCTACCCTTCGGCGGGTTTTACCACCGTAGGCTCTGTTGCTTAGCAACCATGACAGTTGACACACAAAGCAGGAAAAGAATGAAAACCGAAGTTTTCAAAACTGTTTGTTTATTTATTTATTTTTTATTGAGTGGAATAAAGGTTCCAACCACCGGGAGCAGGAACAGATAAAATCAAATGTAATGATAGAAACCGTAGTCAGTTAAATAACCTGCTGCTGTCATTTTGCAGATCTCTGATGTTGCTGCTAATTTCAAATATCCATTACTGTAAAAATGTCCATAGCTGCATATTGGTTATTTATTCCCCAGTTTTATATTGTTAAAACACTTTACAGTATTTTATTGTTTATATTTTAACTCTTCCCTATTATGTTATTCTTATACATTTTTCTAAGGTCCACATTTGTGTGACCATTTTCAATAATCTTTCTGCTGCTGTAAATTTGCCCATTGTGAGACAATAAAGGGATTTTCTATTCTATAAAGGGGGAAGAAAGATATAAGTAAATCTAAACAATGTATGTATAAAAAATATATATCTGCAAAATATCTAATATTCAATAACAAAAAATTTCTTAGTTAAGCATATTGTGCAAAAACAGCAATAAAAAGATAAAACTCCTATCAGATTTATAGTCCCCCCCTCACCCTGCAGATATATTAGAATCTGACCTTAAATTCCAGCCAAACCCATTTATACAGTAACAGATAAAAACCTTTAGATAAACCAAAACATTACCGCCACATATCTGACTCCATAACCATTAAAACAACTATTTTCATTCATTTCAGACGAAACTATTCACAGACTAGATTATATTAAACTGAACTTCCAATAGCGCTTGGGATCCGCGTTGCATTGTGGGACGTGGTGGCCATATTGAGGGCTACGCGAACGTAAACATAGCTCTGATACAACGTTGTTGTTGAAAGAAGAGACGTAGAAGTAGAGAGAAAAAAGATGTTAAAATCCAGAAAAGGATCTGGAATTTACCGGGACACATTAAATAGAGAAGCCACAGACATGTATGTTGACAAAATCTGCGTTATTAATAATTTGGATCCATATGAAGTTCCAAACAATGAGTGGAGAATAGATGAGTGAGCGGCGATACTTCAAAACAGTTCCGAAGCTACAAGTCCCTGGAGTCTCATATGCAGTTCATGAATGGATGGGTTCAGGAGCTGCAGATCATAAAGCCAGCAAACAGTGGGAACACAGTAATCCGTACAAAGGTAAGCTGTGATCAGACGGGCTCTGGAACCTGCTAGTTTAGCAACTGCTAACCGCTAATGCTAACAACCACTCACGCATGTAATGTACTTTTAACTAGCTGCTATGTGTTTCAAAGGTGTAGTTAGTAACGTTAACTGCCAACCCTCCGGGTTTCTCACGTATTTGAGCCTTTTCCCGCTGCCGATTTTATTATTTTCCTGTAAAAGATCCCAACTTTGTGTCAGGGGCTCAGAGGTTTGGACCCAGAATTCAGACGAGACAGACAGTGAAGCTTTAAACGAGTTTATTGAAACAAGCTGCGTGCGGCTGCTCATCAGCTGGCGCGGGTTCACTGGATACGCTGCGGGGATATGGACTCAGATAAATATCTCAGAAGCTCAATCGGGGAATTATAATGAGCTGAAAGTCACCAACCAGGCAAAGTTCAGTCTGAGCTCAGGAGGAGGAGTGAAGTCCGGAGGAGCTGAGCTCCGCAGCGTGAGACTGAGCCCGAACCAGAGATCCAGAAGGGTAGAGAAGCAGCGACCAGCAGCAGCCAGAGCACACAGAGAAAACGAGGGATCCAGGAGGGATAATCCAAGCCGTGGTCAGAAGACAGGTCCAAGGTCGGCAACAGGTAGAATCCAGAGAAACAGAACAGGCAAAACAGAGCAGAGCAGGGGCGGCCAAAACTCAGAAGTCCGGGGGCAGAAACAGGTCAAAATCAGGCAGAACACATACAGAGAAAACTAGACAGGCTGGAAGCTTGAATAATCTGGCACCATGGGCTGGGAACTAGTGGCATAAATAGGAGAGGACACAGGTGGATCTGATAAGAGATAATAGGGCCAGGGAGGAGCAAAGCAGATAAGAGGAAAAACAGAGTAAAACCCAGCCTACGGTGCCAAGATCATGACACTTTGAAGGAAAGAAACAAAGTAGGCTATAAAATAAAACCGTGCATCTTTAACTTACCAGAATGAAAATGCAGGGAACCCACTCTCATTGACATCGGGATACTGTGGAAAGTTATGTTCGGTCGTCTTACAGCCGCGATCCAAGCTAGCCGACGACTCTTTATCTCTGACGCTTGGTCTCCATGGTTACGCCTCCAGGCAGGAAAGCAGTTGAAAGTTAACCCATTTTCTATGTTGTTCCCATGGCGATCATGTGTTGCGCTGTTACAGCCCACAATACAGCAACGGTTTACCATGGTTGAAATCAAGTTAAGGTGAAATTAATCAAATCAAAACACAGCTGAGAGGGAGTAAAGTACGCGGTAGTCATAGGCAGTAGTCTGAGCAGCGGTAAAAGAGGCCTTCAAGATGGCGGCGATGCAAAGTGCTTACGTCATGACGACCAAGCCCTATTAAGTATTTATAGTACTCAACTCAGTATTAATTCTGCTCCATTAACTCATTAATTTATATTGTGATGGATTTGTATATGTTATATTACATGATTTATAGGCTTCATTGACTTCATACTTTCATACTGACTATGCAATGTGATGTTCCTATTTCTTTAACATAAATGATAGTAATCTTGTGATGCTATGAAACAGCCAGTCTATGTCAAAGTGATGAATTTATCTTTATTTGAAAAGTCTTAAGTCCACTGAACATGAGAACATCATTGCTATTCAATGCTGTAGCGCCCGGACTGTTTACATTGCAACCGGTCTCACTAGGGAGTACCAATATGGCGGCTGGTGACTTCACAGCACCGTGTACTGCCAATGGCCTATCAGCAATCTAGGGAATAAATAAATATCAGTGGTGTGTTTATGGAGAAGGCTGGAGCAGCAGTTCTCTGAGGGAACCGCTGCTCCAACAAACATCCAATAAACATCCAACAAACATCCAGCAAACATCCAACAAACATCCAGCAAACATCCAGCAAACATCCAGCAACATCCAACAAACATCCGGCAAACATCCAACAAACATCCAACAAACATCCAGCAAACATCCAACAAACATCCAGCAAACATCCAACAAACATCCAGCAAACATCCAACAAACATCCAGCAAACATCCGGCAAACATCCAACAAACATCCGGCAAACATCCAACAAACATCCGGCAAACATCCAACAAACATCCAACAAACATCCGGCAAACATTCGGCAAACATCCAACAAACATCCAGCAAACATCCAGCAAACATCCGGCAAAGATCCGGCAAACATCCAACAAAAATCCGGCAAACATCCAACAAACATCCAACAATCATCCAACAAACATCCAACAAACATCCAGCAACATCCAACAAACATCCGGCAAACATCCAGCAAACATCCAACAAACATCCAACAAACATCCAGCAACATCCAACAAACATCCGACAAACATCCAACAAACATCCGGCAAACATCCGGCAAACATCCAACAAACATCCAGCAAACATCCAACAAACATCCAACAAACATCCAGCAAACATCCAACAAACATCCAACAAACATCCAACAAACATCCGGCAAACATCCGGCAAACATCCAACAAAAATCCGGCAAACATCCAACAAACATCCAACAAACATCCGGCAAACATTCGGCACACATCCAACAAACATCCAGCAAACATCCAGCAAACATCCAGCAACATCCAACAAACATCCGGCAAACATCCAACAAACATCCAACAAACATCCGGCAAACATCCAACAAACATCCAACAAACATCCAGCAAACATCCAGCAAACATCCGGCAAACATCCGGCAAACATCCAACAAAAATCCGGCAAACATCCAACAAACATCCAACAAACATCCAACAAACATCCAGCAACATCCAACAAACATCCGGCAAACATCCAGCAAACATCCAACAAACATCCAACAAACATCCAGCAACATCCAACAAACATCCGACAAACATCCAACAAACATCCGGCAAACATCCGGCAAACATCCAACAAACATCCAGCAAACATCCAACAAACATCCAGCAAACATCCAACAAACATCCAACAAACATCCAACAAACATCCGGCAAACATCCAACAAACATCGGGCAAACATCCGGCAAACATCCAACAAACATCCGGCAAACATCCAACAAACATCCAACAAACATCCGGCAAACATCCGGTAAACATCCAACAAACATCCGGCAAACATCCAACAAACATCCAACAAACATCCGGCAAACATCCGGCAAACATCCAACAAACATCCGGCAAACATCCAACAAACATCCGGCAAACATCCGGCAAACATCCGGCAAACATCCAACAAACATCCGGCAAACATCCAACAAACATCCAACAAACATCCGGCAAACAGCCGGCAAACATCCGGTAAACATCCAACAAACATCCGGCAAACATCCAACAAACATCCGGCAAACATCCGGC